GCACGTGGACTAAGCCGTGCGCACCCCCGCCGCCGCCCGCCCGTGGACTTCCCCCGCCGCCCCCACTAGCCCGCCGCCAGCCCGGGGGCTGCCATACCGTGGACTTCCCTCCGTGGTCCACGCCCCGCCCCAGGCCGGGGGCCGCCGCGCCGTCGCCTCACGCCGCCACCATTTTTCCCCACGACAACCTGCGCTCCCCGACGGCCACCGTGGACAACCGCACGGCGCTGGGCGGGCTGGACTCGCCATGCGGCAAGAGGTGAGCGAAAGCACTTCAAGTTCAACTTTAATGAGGGTTAAGACGTCAGTTCCCATGAACTTAAATCACCCACGTCCGTGCAAATTGAGAAGCGCTCACCGGTTTAGCGAGGCGAAGCATGATCTAGAATCGACGAGGACGTGGGGGACATTGTAGGCACATGAAACATTTTCCGTGCCGGTGTAATCTATCTTGGACGCAAGATACTGAGGTGTTTTACTGTATATGTGCCTCACCGCGTACCGACGTCTGTCTGTCTTAGAGTCTCCTGGGCGAAGTGGATAGTTTCTTTTGTGGTAGGGGAAAGGACTGACAGCTGATGAGGCCTTGCGCCTCGCGAAGAGGTACAGAAGTGTGAGCTGGACAACAAGCAGGGCCTGCGAAGGCTGAGAGTGCGCCTGTAAAGGTCTGCAAGGATGCAAGTCTGCGGAAGCTGGAGTTTCGAGACGTTGTGCTTGAGAAGCATGGCCGGGGAAATGGCGCGCTGGACTGGCCTGGGCTGGAGCAAGAAGGAATCTGGCGCGTGTCCCTTTTCGCGCGTGCTTGGAACCCGTAATCCGCGACGTGTATGCATGTGCACCGCTGCTGCTCGACGACGGCGCCGACGGCGGCAGGCTGCCAAGGGGATCAGATCTGGCGAGAGATTCCCTCCTTGATCCCCGCTACCGGAGGCTGCTGCTGGACATGGACAGAGCGCTGGAGGCTCCGCGGCCGTGTCGATGGGTATCGGCAGGAATCACTCAACTCGCCTCGGCTCGGCCGGGGCGGGGCCGTTGGGGCGCGAGTCTGATTTACCTCACAGCCAACAACAACAACAACAACGCCTCGCTCGAGGAGCAAGGGCGACAAGAGGAAAGGGATACGCCTTGTAGTACTACTTGTTGGGCCGAGAGGGGCCCGGACAACGCTCACGTCTTTGTCTCTGTGGAGCCGAGGGGTGGACCGGACAGCAGCAGCGCTTCTCAAGGAGCCGCGGCGGGCTGTAGGTCGCGGCACGCGCTGCCGACGCCGCCGCCGCCGCCCCTCCTGGTGGAGAGGTGGTGCTGCTGTGGGGAGGGGGGGGGGGTGTTGTTCACGGCTTGTCCTGCCGTCGCGTCGTTGGCCGGCAGTAGTAAGAGTCCCCCATTAGGGCCATCCGCCATCTTGGTCCCCCAATCTGACATGGCCCCAATCTGCCGGTTCCCCATTCTGCCATCTATCCAGAGCCTAACCCAACCTAAGGGTGGGTCTTTTGAGCCCCTAACATAACCTAACCTAACGAAGGGGT